ATTCTGTTTCAAAATATATTTTGCTGCTTTTCACTTTACTTGATCTATTTCTGATATTTTGTTCTTTCCTTTTCACCCTAATTTCTTTCCTTGAAAAAAAAAACTGCGAATAAAGATTGTTTTTTTACAGATGTACTGTTGTTTAGTTTAGCAACATGTGTTATTTCATTCTATCTTTTTATTGAAATATTCTTTTTTTAGATATCTTAGAGGCCAGACATATAAAAATGAATCTCAATTATTTTAAAATGCCTCTAAAAACTTACTTTTGAAAGATGATCATGTCTATCAATTAGCTTTCTACTTTCCTAAGCCACACGGAAAAGTTGATTAATTATCTTCTTTAGTTGGCTTTGATTTGTAATGAGGTGATAATATTCCACAATGCAAGCTGACACAAACAATAAATTAATAAAATAATAATTTTAACAATAATCGGGAACAAAACCACATGATGCAATTTAAAGTCATTTGTTGAGTATTTTAATCAGGAAATAACCTAATGTGTCGGCCCTTGTTTCTTTGATTTGTGTAACTTGCGGAAGTAAATGGTCTCAAAGGGATTTAACCATAAGCTTTATCAGAAAATGCCACGCATATATACCCTGAAGTTTATACAGAGTTGCCCCAGGGTAATTAATATTTCTTATGAATACCTTTTTTTTAGAAATATGCGAGATAGTATTTACTGCAAAATGTTTCCGAGAATTAGATTAAAATCCACCAGACTTAAAGAATACAATTCCAACAAATAATGAAATACATTTTGATCAACCGCAAATTACATTCACCCAGAACATTCTAGGCCATTGCCACCAGCACCAAATAAAACCACAAGATCAAACAAGAAAAGATACACATGTTTTCTCTTGAAGATATCCTTAATCCAATAAAAATGATTCTGCTCGCGAAGAAATGAAAGGTCGGAAAAGGAATTTTGGCAAATGTTCTTAGCAATGAAGTCTGAGCAGCGTATGAGAAAAGTTTGCACATCTTGGACAATAGTCAAGGTCAGAGTACTTATTAACAATCAGCTAAAATATCACCATCTAGAACTTGGAAAAGGGCGGTAAATTATATGTTTATCACGATAAACCAAAACGTCCAAAATGTCCAATTTTGTAAACATAACTTGCCTTAGAAAACGATAACTGCCTTATATTAAATATTAGCAACTATAATAATCTTCAATCATCAATAATTCATTCACCTTTTAGTGTGAAAATAATGCTCACCATCTTCGCTATCAATGTGGTACACACTCAATGCAAGGTTTAAACGGGATGTCAGTCAGCCCGAAGACCGTATAAATTTTTGGAGCGACTTTGTATGTTACACCTTTAATTGTACAGCATGAGTACCCAGATAAATCCACTCTTTCTTGTCCAAATCAGACAAAAGAAAAAACCTTTTACCGTATTAAGGTTTAATGAAACTGTAAAGAACAATTAATTAAATTAATTAAATTAAATTAATTTAATTAATCAATTAATTTAATTAATTTCAATGATTCTAAAACTGGTCTTTATTATAGATGAAATTAATAAGGTCTCTTCTATTACAACAGATACCTATAACGAGACTAAATATAAAATAGGTGCCAAAACCGAATCTCGGGAAAAGGTATAATCGCATGGAGGATGTTTTAAATCACAATTTTATGAGACTATAGTATATAAACTGAAAAAATCAATTGGAGATCACTTTAAGAGAATATTATCTATATATGAAACAAAGCAACATGATTAAGATTTATAAACTTGTAAGCAAAATAAGGAATGATAAAATGCGTATTAGTAAATTGGAGGTGATATGCTTAAGATTTAGAAAATTGTAAGCAAAATAAGGAACGATAAAGTACGTGTTAGTAAATTGGAGGTGATATGCTTAGACAATTATAAGCAAATAAGGAACGATATAATACGTGTTAGTAAATTGGAGGTGATATGCTTAAGATTTTGAAAATTGTAAGCAATATAAGGAACGATAAAATACGTTTTAGTAAAATGGAGGTGATATGCGAATCTATAATAGTTAGCAATGTTATAATTAATTTTTTTCTGCTGTTCACCAGTTGTTTTTGAATTAGTCTGAGAAGCACACATGATGATCGAATACATTAATAGGTCATAAATTCGATACTTTCCAACAAGTAATGCAACTGTATATAAATAGAAAAAAGATATAGATGTGCACACAATGTATATTTATTCTGAGGGGCCCCGAGTGGCCAAGTGGTCTAAAGCGCTGTCCGTTACGGATCACTGCCATCTCACCTCTGTCTGCGTGGGTTCGAGTCTAGGATTCGGCGAATGTGGATATGTGAGAAAGCTTGCCAGTAGCTTCTCGTGGGTCGGCGGTTCTTTCCGGTGATTTCCCGGTTTCTTCCTCCACCATTAATACTGGCCGCCATGAATAGCCTATCGTGTGCTGAAAAATGGCGTTAAGCCCAACAACAACAACAACAACAATATTTCTTATGTGTCTGATGCTCCTGTTGATATCAACAGCAGCCATTGAAAATATGTTAAATTTTAAATAAATACAAGACAAAGTACCTCACGTAATAAAGACTACTTAACATCCCATATAGAAACGTACCGACATTGAGTTTCAGGTGTGTTCAGGAGGTGTTACTGATGTAATACCATTGATGTCCCTCGGTGGGGAAAATGTAATCAAGTATGTCATGCATGACATGGAATTCATTACAAACGAAATAACAATATAATTCACGTAAAACACAATGAGACTACTACAAAGCAAGCATTTATCTGATAAAGTAATTAAGGATATTATAGAAACAATGAGGTTTTTGGTGCAGTTGAAATGGGTACCAGAGTTTATGTGACTTATAAGAATCCTTGAGAGAAAGAGAGAGAGAGATATCAACACTTTTCTAAGATGTTCTCGAAGTTAGCTAAATTAAATACCTTAGACAAACTGGCAACATACGGAAAATAAATAACTCAATTGTTTCTGATTATCAAAATGTTCGCAATACACTCTGACTTCATCTTGTCTGAGTTTCTCCCAAGCTTCACCAGGCTGAGCAGGAGTAAAACAAGCAAGCAGAATTAAAAATATCTAAATTCTCAGTAACCAAACTATGTTCGCTTAATCTTTAAGTAATCTAGAGAATTTGCTCGGTTTTCTAGGAATTCAAGCGTCTATTATGATTTCTTTCATTATTTGCATGTATTACTAATTCTTCGTCAGCCCTTTTAGGATAAAAAAAAATGAACTAATAATTATTTTCTATGGATGCCTAATCGGTACCCAATGCTCATCCGATTATGAATGCTGATGTTGCCAATGTCGAGTTATTTAAGGTAATAATTAGAAGTCAAACAAATACCCATTAAAAGTAATTCGTGCGCACATTTCATTGCCCAGAGATTTGATTTTGGTAGCGTACCGCGCGCTCTGTCGTTCATTTCAAAAAGAAATAGAATGTTGCAATTGTTGCAGTTACAATTGAAGCCAATATTCTGACAGTTGGTCTGTTTATAATTTATTTGTGAATTAATTGTGTACGAAGCAGATGTGGCCTGTAGGATTGGCTTTGAAGTAATCTGTACATATGTTTCTGTTCTACAATAGATAATTTGAAATCATAGAGTGGAAATAACAGAAATTCGTTTGACTGAGATTCCCAAGAAGCTGCGGGATTAAATATTCTTTCTTATGGAATATCAGATTCATTTAGTTTTGGAAATGCCATAAATTCTCCTGTGGAATATAATTTATGTTGGAAGTATAGTCTTCAGAGGTCTTTCGTTCTTGGTTATATTGTAGAACACACACACGCACACACACTCACGTACGGATATACATACATAATTAAAACGAAAGGTGAAAGGCAACTGTTACGTAAAGACATTATTTTGACATTTTCATATTTTCCTATTTAACTTTTTTAACTATTTCTTTTTCTGGATAAAAATTGCCATTCGCAAATTTGGTGCTTTCATTTGTATTGACTTAAGGTCTAAGAACTTTATTAAATAGAAATATGAATGACGTACATTGTGCTAATGGGAAAAAAATGTTTCGTAAAGACCAAATAGCCTTCATAAAAAAAATGTTTATTAAACATACTGGTCGTTTATTTCATTTTTTCTAAATTTATATGCTTGCTAATGAAATTTCTGATTTTATCTGCATAAGTTTACTAAAGGACATTGGCTTTCATAGTGTTGGTGCTTGAATTATTTTACATATTACGAAAAAACAAAACATTGGGATCATGGTTTTAAATTCGTCTTTACTGGAAATGGCCGGTGGAAGTGTGTGAAGTATATATTTCTTGCTTTATATAATTTTTTAGTCTGATACTGTTGCTCATAGTAACTTTCGTGGAGTGGAAATTTTAAAAGAACAGTTTGGTAGTTAGTTTACCCATTGTGGTTAAAACAAAAAAAAATGTGCATAGTTAAATGTTGGTTTAGGCTTTAAACATAAATTAGGGACACAAAGGTGTCGGTCTCATGAAATAGATTCGATCAATATTAGTCATTTTAATCAATTTTTGCTTGCGTCAATATTTGCCGTTATCTATGTAGTTTGTCTAATGAGGAATGGTCCCACTTTGTGGGATCATATCGTGACATTATATTCTGTGATGGCATTATCGTCTTTACGTACAATGATCAGGGAGATATCTCTTTGTGGGGTTCATTACCTCACAAGCCATATACTACGTGACAATGCTTACCTAATATAAAAGACCTTGGACTACTAATTTGATAAATGGTGTGATTTGATTATGATTTTTAAGGTATCTTTAACAATTTTTCATTCATATCGCTACGAGGTCTGCAGTGTAGCAGTTTATAGTGACGTCTAGCACTGTCGCATCATGCCGCAGACATGTAGCATTATGTCTCACCCATTCACAATATCCTGACACCTGGCCGACCAGTCCTAACTCTAACCTCTTAATGCTGAGCGTTAAACGAGGCAGTTATTAGTCCATTTTTTTTTGTACGTCTTTGGTATGACTCGATCGGGGATTAAACCGAAGACCTCCCGCATCCCAGGCAGACGCTCTAACCACTAGGCCATATGAGTATAAAAGGCATTGAAAACTTTTGTATAAATTATATTAATAAAAAAAGGATTACGTGATGTCATACTTCCTGTCATAACACATTATCCCCCGATCATATAACGAGAACAATTTAGCTCGATAATATTAGTAAGTCAAGAGTTTGGTGAGTCTGATAAAACTCATCAAATATGCGATATTAGAAGACGCCTAAAACCTGTTGTACGTTTATTTATACGACTCCAAAGGTATAGAGGCCATGTATTATACAAGATTACGACAATGCATATGGCCATGGTACACAATTAATTTTACTATACGGTCTCTACATTTGTTCCTCAGTACTGAACTTTCCACTGTGTGACAATCAATACAAATCATATGTTAATCTAAAATACCTTCAAAGATGACTTTACGGTTTAGTTCTTGTCAAGGGTTGACCTGCTTTTTTTTGAGAGGCTGAATTGTAAACAAAACACCAGGCAACGGAACACAGATTTCACTTCCAGATCATCACCATGACCTTATTACTCAATGTGCACTGTCGCCGAAATACACACAGACAACCATACCATAAGATCACATTTTAAAGAATAATCAATTGCCTTTAAATCCTTACCAAGAATGCCAAAATCTAACTCTAGTATCACCACCAAATTTAGACCGGAAAAAGTGATCTAAAAATAGACTGGGACTACATTCGTGGGTACTGAACCGGATTTTATTAATTGTGTACTGATTCCATATCACGTTGACATCATTTCAAGAGCATCATCTCTAGAATAATCCCAACTCAGTAAATCATTGTCTGTTACTTTCTCTCCGACATCACCAATGTGATCTTGTGCCAGTGTGGATGTTCCGTCATCTAGCACGTAACGTGTGTCGTCTTAACAACTCAACCCTATTTTGTTGAGTTCACATGTATACACTGTCTGATTTATTGATCTTACGGTATTCATATATTTTATGTGATGTGCTGTGATTATGATTTTTAACGTAGCTTTAAAAAAAATTAGTCTTATCGCTACGATGTCTGCAGTGTGGCAGTTTATAGTGATGTCTTGCACTGTAGCATCATGCCGCAGACATGTAGCATGATATCCCACCCAGTCACATTATCCTGACACCAGGCCGACCAGACCTAACACTAACCTCTTAAGCTGAGCACCAAGCGAGGCAGCTGCTAGTACCATTTTTTGTAAGTCTTTGGTATGACTCAACCAGGGATCGAACCCACGAGCTCCAGCATCCGAGGATCGAAATCATCCGAGGCTGACATTCTAACCATTAGGCCACCGAAACGATCCAGAGGTTTTGTGTAACCTACCCTGCAAAGCTGTTAAATATACATAATAGGGTATTTTTAGTTTTTCCTTTGCCTCTTTTCTATGCTCCCAAGTACATTATGCTCCTAAATCCAACAAATTTCTCAATGGATGTCGACGACGTCCTTAAATTTTCCAAAAAAAACCTTCTTATTAACCGGATCAAAGTATTAGCTATTCTGAGATAAGACTAATAGCTCTCACGTGTCATATATATCTCCGTTCAGATTTTCTTTATTTGCCTCTTAAGAGCGACTTTCAGTGTCATTGAACAATAAGTTTGCTGTTTTTGCACTTTTTGATGAATCGATATTGAATTTCGTATATAAACAACTTGGATAACTTCAGCACGGTAAATCAACTTGCTATGGATCGCCACTAAATAATCATCAAATATTTGCATGCTCACCAAGCATTGTGAAAATACTAATGTGTCTCGCCTGCTAACATATTTGACCAACTTGAGATTGACATGCCTCCGCATGTGTTCCATGAACTTACCGAATTCGCTGTTGATCATCATCTTAAAGAAATTCTATACGAAATCATCTTATTTGACTTCTGTTTGTCTTTAGGTGATCAAAAATATTTACGTTTTAAGCCTGGGACGTTGTTTAAACTTGAGCAGACAGTTGAATAAAAGTCACGCGCATATACCCAAATACATGTCATACTTCAGGTTTCTGTAATGTACTATGTATCGATACTTATCCATTAGAGTTTGAATCAGATTCGGTACACTCACTCTGACACCTAATTGAGCTTGTAAACGTTTATTTGTTGGACAAAACATGCCATCATGTACGGCAATAGTTTCAGGCGCTTGAGGATAGTAGTTATGTTCCGCGTAAAGTTTTGTCGGATACTCTAACTCCACCGCTAGAATGTACCCCTTATCATCATCAGAATCTACATTTTTGACGTCACGCCATTTTACCAACTGAAAACTATTTTATGATTTTAGTATGCTTCTGCTTGGTGTCCCTGGCCAACTCCATCTAACAGCGTTTTACTTAAAACGTATGGTGATTGAGCATCGTCGTTTAGCTACGACAGCCACGTTGGTGCGTTGATGTTTGCTCAGAGCAAGTCCAATATGTTGATATGACATTCTTTCTATATAACATCAGGTTACATAAAGATACTGGCTATATCAGATGTATGCAACCTTTTTTCACATAGCTTGCACTTTTTCCGGATTAATAACAAAATGAACAATCGTGTGCCACCAATAAGAGAGTATCGCTGCTAACATCAATATTTTTGGCTGTCCTTCGCATACCACACAAAACATCTTGACGTGCTTTAGGTTGCCCTGAACCATTATTATCCAATCAGCGGATGTGATAAGACTGAAGACAGGGTCTTAGTAACCATCAGAACAATGGTTAATTGAAGTAAACTTTGCTATGCAAACGCAATATAGCCTAGGCAACCTAGGTGATCTACGAACCTAATAATGGCAAGGTTTTTAGGATCAACAAGGCAAATTGTTGTCCTATGTCACCAAAAAAAGACGCTCCTTGGTTGGCCACCTTGGAATGAGACATTTTAATTCCGTTGATCATCTTGGAATGCGGATAACACAACCGTGCATCTGGTGCCGCGTTGAGCCGCTTATGCTGTCGCACGCTGTTGAGGTTGTCAACATTAAATTCGCCAGTAAGTAAAGCCAGTTTTAAAAAAATTTACGTTAAAATTTATCCCGGGTGTTCACACCATCGTCTTAACACCCCTAATTTGCGTTTACTAAATCACCATTGTCATCTTTCCTATATTGAGTCGAGCGTAAAAAAAAACTTATCAGAGGTCAGCAATGCATAATCATGATAAAGCCCATCGTCCGCTATCATATTAGCAGGTTTAGCTGGATCATTTACTTTCGGCACGGCAGCCACTGTCCATTTTACACCAATTTCCGACATCGAAAGCACACTCATCCCAGGCTTGTCAAAATTATATATTGGGTAAAAATTTCTGAACTCTTCGATAGTGAACTTCGTACCATATCTTTGTCTTAGAAAATTGGCATCGCTTCGACGATAATCATGTATGTACTTGAATAATTTCTATGCTCGTCGGCTTAATTGCGTATTATTTTCTGCTAGTAATAATGTCTTATATTACTTCTGACGTCGATTGGTAATAAGTTCACTTGATCGAAAATGATATTGTGTAACTCCTGATTGATGCCTTGCACTGTTTGTTGAAAGACTAGAAACAAATGACGTTGTCGCTCTGACCTTGCTTTTGTGGTGATCCTATGTGAGATATCTGGCTGATTAAACGTCTAATGGAAGCTTCTAAATCCTTGTTGTTCGAAATCCCCTGTTTGGAAAACCTCGACAGAAAATTCTCGAGTTGATTCTCACGCACCAACGACGGATGGATTTAAAGTTTCCAGAGCGAAAATACTGTAAACACAAACTGAGTAGTAGTTAACCCATATCTCAGGAAAAGGTAATTCTCAACGCTATAATATGTTAGCTCAATCGCATGTTTCACTCCCCTAAAACCCTCACGGTTATCATAACTAAATCCTAATATAAAACTCAACGAGAGAAACATGCAAATCTGATGTATGTCAATGGTCGTTGTAGGCACAGTTTTTGTATCGAGTAAACGCGGATCTAACTACATCACGAATATGGACACAAATAGCAGTTTATTCCATTAGTACCAGAGTAATCTGCAGTATCGTCAGCAGGAAACACTGAAGCAACATCTTGTAAAATGAACACAGCTGCATTTATTTTTGCTGTATAGAGCGGCGCAAGTGGCTTGGTCTTTACCCTTGCTTAGACAAATTAAATTGGTCTCACATGAATATCAAACGTGACACGTTCATTTTTAAAATCTACAGGTTATCTGGATTTATCTGTCGTTGACATGGTCACAGCTGGGATACTGCAGATATTGTTGACCGCATAAAAAATCAGTGGAGATGGTTATATGGGTATTAACGTGCCACGGAGTTTATTAGGAGAAAGACTTCAAATCACGATGCTGAAATTAATGCCGATATCGTAAGATCCCTCAGCGATAGGAGCAGTGGATTTGAATAAACAATTTGATGTTGCGTGAAACCAAGAAACGACCCGATCGTGTTGTCGTCGTTTAAATTCACACGGTAACAGCAAGCGAGTGAGTCTGGATTTTAAAGTGATGTAGTTTTGCTTCATTTTTAAATTGTGCCTATTGTGGTTGTTGGTGGTGTTCTGCCACCATATTTCGTCAGCGATATCGATCATATTATACGCTCCAAGGGTAATTGTTAGTTTATAAAAAGTATTATCTGCTCGAACCTTTAGCTTGATCACAGGGGCTAGATACAACAAAAAAAAACATATTTGCACGGGGCCTCGTTATGACAAGCGTTCCAGATCTCGCTGGTTTCGTATTCAGTTTCGAAGTCAAGCGGAATCTGGGTCGCGTAACGCACCAAGAAAATGCATCTGGTGCTCTGAGCGGATTTTGAGTCAAACAACAAGGTGGTGTTGACGATTTACATGATTGGTATATAGCCCATGTGATGTTAAAAACGTATATAATAGGTTGGACAAATCCCGATGGAGCACAGATAATCCTCATAATCCTCACACGATCACATTCCCAATACTGATAAAAGGTCCAGTATATTTATGAATTCATTATCGATTCCACTCCGGTGCTTCCGGCGCATTTACTGACTGATCTTAACTTTAATCGTTACACTGACTCTGATGAAGTTTTATAATACTTTACACCTTTTCCGTCTTTTGTCTTGGAGATTCCGATGAAAGCGGTCTAGGGGTTACCAGCCTCAGCTGTGGACTCTATATTAATCATGCTTTCTCATGGCCCATCTGTTTCTGGTACTACATCCTTTTCCTTTCTTAGTTGGTTCCTGCTTATCGAGTTAGTATCTCTCTTGATGTATTTTTTTCAGTATCGGGACATACTTTTCAACACGCGGATTTTCTTTTGATTTTATTTTGCTTTCGTAATGACATAATATGATGACTTTCTCATTTCTTAGTTCATCTAATTAAATTAGCATTTTATTCTTTTTGATTAATATATGTTCAGCTTGTATCTTTAATATCATCAATATCAACATTTAAGTAGCCTCGGTAGCTCTTTTCAATTGATATGTCCTCGCGCTGATTTTTTGGTCGGCTAAAGCTCATCTATTAAATCCCTTATGATAATTCGTTCATAGTCAGCTTCAGTAACGACATCCATGAGAGGACCATATTGTGGCGATACTGAGTCGATGATGTCTCTAAATAATTGATGTTCGGTTTGTTGTACAGGCGCTATTGTCACCAACGTGTCATCTTGTTTTAAGTCATGTGCAGTTGTAGTATAGTTGGTTTCTTAATCGCTTATGTTACCTGAATAAATGACGGTACATCAACCTCACGTTGAGACTACTGTTTGCCGCACGAGCGGCCATTATACTCTGCTTAATCGACTGCCATTGCTCGATAAATTTTGTTATCGGTGCGGTTCGATCGTAGGGTGTACTTACTCTGGCAAAAGGCATGATAAATTACACTTTCACGTTGGGTGCAAGGTCGACGACTTGAGAGTTTCTAGAATATAAAACTCATGGAAACCTCATAGATACAATTTTTGATATATTCTCTGTGTCTCGATAAACACGAGAAATCATGTTAGGTAGACGTAGCTTTATCATAAGCCTGTCTAAATTGAGCTGCAGTGATAGACCTGCAATGGTCTCGCACTTTCTAATCAATGCTGAAAAGAGTACAAACTACTCCTGATGTATTTAGGAACATTCTAATGCGACTGAGCCACTCTATCGCTTTACCATGTTTATTTCTCAAGAATGATAAATACTCGTTGATCTTATTCAAATTTGGATGATCGATTTTGATATCAACACCACCATCTGATCATGATTGTCCGATAGCTGATACTCCGGACTGATCTTTTCGGGTTCGCTTATCGCAATCACATCCTAATTAATCT